TTTAATTATTCCACCTTACATAGGAATTTGGATTCATCCATGTATCTGTGAAAGGTAAAGTAACACTCTGGTGACAGGTGCACCACATTATAAATCGAGGCCAGAGGTCAATTCCTAATTTTGCCTTTTGGCTCATGAATGCTCTTAAACCCTTGCTGAGATTATATCTACACCTCACAGTTTGCTGACTGATATCTAAAGAGATGGCACATTAAAGCTAATAATAAAGACATTTTATATTTTTCCCCATGATGTTAAAAAAACAAATTTCTGGCATAAAGTAGATGTCTACTAAATATTAATGTCCCATTATTGTGTCATCAGGCCAAAGATGACTATTTTGCCTCCTTTTTCTTTGTTTTTATATAATCTGCCACCACTCCCCAAATATCTCCTTCAAGTAAAGTCAGGTTTAGGTGGTTGATGAATTATTTGTGTGACAGAAGCAATGCTAACTGTTCATCAAACCCCATTGCCTTCTCTACTGGGGCACACACTTCACAGTCAGCCCCGGCAGTTAGGTGCAGCCATGTAATCATGTACCTGAACCCTGGCTAAGGAAATGGGGTACAAATGATGTATAGCACTTCCAGGGCTGGGCCCTGATACCTCCACCAAGTCAACCCACAGATTAGATGATTCCAAGGCAACAAGGGATGGTGGAGCCACAAAATGGAAGAAACCTGGTCTTTCCATAATTGCAAGGAGCACATGACCCATTTACTGGCCCCAACAAGCCTGCTACACACTGACTTATATGAAACATAAGCTCTTATTATGTTAAATCACTGAGATACTGGTATTGTTAAATACCCAGATTAACATACCTTGTATTTCTCACCTGTGGAAATATAAATGAAAAGAACCTCTGGATTTAGTTTCAGGAACTGAGATATAAATCCTGGCTCTACTACTTCCCCAAAATACCCTATGATCTGCTCTTGAATATGGTCTATATCCTTTTGCAACTGCATGTCTAGCACATTCATTAATGGAGCCCTCCCCACCCTTCTCTCCCTCAAGACTTCTGTCAGGCCTTCTCTGACCTCCCACCCATGCACATTTAATTCTTTGCTCCTAGTGCAAAGTATACTCTTCCACTTTGGCATCTGTTATATTTTTTTGCAAATATTTGTTAACATGTGTTTCCACAGACTGAGTTTTTTAATCCACAGGCAGACAATTCCTTTGGGATCTTTGACTTCCAGGATTTAGTTACAGTACCTGGCACATAGCAAAAATAACTATATATTAAAGGAATGTCTGTCCCCTATGATCTTAAGTGAGTCACTTGTTAAGCCTATAAAATAAAATTGTACAAAATTGTTCTGATGACGAAGAATGTGACTTGTAGATTATAAATAGATTCTAAGAGTAGTGTGTTTATTCTGTTTTGTAGCCCCTTTCTCATCTTTTCCAGTCAAATCTATCTTACTGTTTCGAAGTAGCTTTGTCCAATAGAAATACGTAAGCCGCATATACAAACACCTTAGTAGCCATATTTAAAAAGCTAAAAGAAGAAGGTGAAGTGGATTTAAACATTTTAGCTCAACATATTCAAAATATTGCTTATTAGCTATTGTACATTTCGCTACTTTTGTCTTCCGAATTATCTGGCGCGTACGTTACAACACACCTGTCTTGACTGTGGCTGGTGGCTCTCGCAAACTGGACAATGCAGCCGCAAGGCCTACTTCAGACACACGTCTCGGGTGAAGTCAACCTCGTTCAGAATTAGTGACCCCTCCTCAATGCTCTCTCAGCCCCTTATCATCACCGTCATTTTCTTGAAACCTAGAAGGTGAGCTCCTTGAAGAATTCAGACCGTTGTCTCTAGAAATCAGCCTCATAGCAATCGCCGGCGTATAACCAGCGGTTGTTATAATGTCAAGGTAACTAACGAGCCCAAGTGCAAAGGAGCCGGCGGGGGGCCGAGTGGCCGGGAGGGGAAGATGACCAGTCTGGGAGAGGGCGGGGCTGAGCCACCGCCGTCAGCCGGGATCCGCGCGCTCGGGCCACCGGGGCCCCGGGGTGCGGGCGCTGGAGTGCGGGGCTGGGCCGGCCCGAGGGCACCGGAGCCGCAGCCCGTCCCCGCACCAGCCCCTCCCCTCTTAGCGCCGCCGCGGCCGCCGAGCCCCGGAAGCGGGCGGGGATTTCCTGTGCCCGCCCCACCCGCGCCCGCCGGGCCGCCGTCTCCGCCTGTCGCTGGCTCCGCGGACGCCGGCTCCGAAGAAGCGAGCGCGGAGGGGAGGGGCAGGCGGCGCCCGGGAGGGAGACACCGGGCTGCAGGCCAAGCCGACCCGGGTGAGTTGGGGCCGGGCAGGCGGGAGTCACGGCTGGAGGGAGGGACACCTGGCTTCCCCGGGCGGCGAGGGGGCCGGTCACCCATGGGGGCGGGGAGGAGGGTCGACGCGGCCTCTGGGTCCCTTGCCATTCCCAGGGTCAGCTGCGCTGACATTCTGTGCCCGCCCCTCTCCTGTCTCTCCGTCCCCAGCGTCGTCGCTGTCAGGCCCCGTGGGTTCCCGCCGCTGTCACCAAGCGCAGGTTTCCCCGTGGCTCCTTTTTCTTCACTTGCTCCTGTCCCAGTTCACGGGCAACCTGTTTTCTGACCTCACTTCCCCTGCTCCAGCTCTGCCTCTCTGAGTTCTCTGAAACCTGACCCTCTCCCGGCACGGAGACAAGGAGGGACGAAGCAACCCAACTCCGGAGTGGGCACCCGTCCCGCCCACACCCCGCCCGGGACCGGGGCCAGGCTTCTCTGACAGCGACTCACCCTGTGCCCTTGGGCTACTACTCATTTCGGTAGCGTGGCCCTTTCTCTGTCCAACAGCACACGCTGCAGAAACCAACTTCTGCAGGTGCCATGCTCCCCTAAGATGTGAAGCAAAAGGGGAAACGAAACTTCTAGAACCCTGACTCCAGTAGGCCTGAGATACATCCTGAAACCAGGAAAATCCAGGTTAGGGCTGACACCTTAACTGCCCAGGTGCTGGCTCTGAGAGCATGCACATCTCAGCAAAGGCAGTCTGAGGATAAGTACCCGCCCCCTCCTTTGCTGAGATTTCTTCCACAGGTTTTCTGTCAGTACTCTGGAGAGTCTCACATCTGGCCTGCGAAAGAGGCTTCCTATCAAGAGACTCTGCTGCTAGGGTGATGGAGAAATGGATCTCAGATAGGTGTCTATATATTTACCTAGAGGTATAGCCCTGAAGAAGAACTTTCCAACGAAGCTAGTGGATGAGGAAGACCTTTGGTGAAGAGGGGGAATCCATGCTTTACATATTAGAAGTGAAGAGAACACAGGGGCTGGAATTCATAGGAGAAATCTAAAATGGAACTCCCCCTTTATTGCTTTATTGGGAATTTTTCTTTCTCATGAGAAGTCTCTGAAGAGGAAACCTCCTAAGCTGGGAATCAGTCCAGAATGTTCCCAGGAGGCCCTGAGACAGCTTTGGACATCTGAGATGAAAGGGGAATTTGTCCCCTTGCTGTTCATTGAGCTTACAGTTCTCATTTACCTCTCTTGTCAAAGACAGATAGGCAAGAAAATAAACAACTTGACATTTGTCATTATCTGTTCCAGGTTTCTGGGTTCTTGCAAATGTCATTAGATGAATGTGAGTGAGCTAGAACAGTTACCAAGGTTCTGACCTGTTTTTGGAACACTTTCACTGGCTCTGATTGCTTGGGCATTGAATAAGAATCACAAAAATATGATGTTGCCAAGCAAAAAGTGACTCTGCACAGTCTTATAGACTATTTCTTTGCTGTAAGGCAGGGAGACTGCTATCACAACACAACCTGTCGTGCTCCAAAGAGGTCCAGAGCAAAGAGCCTTCAACTCTGCAGGCTTCAACACTGCAGGATTATTAAGAATTTTTAAATCTTACCTAAATCTATTCTCTTGCAATCAAGAGAAGAGATCTACATAGAGAAAGAAAATGTCTTTCTTTTTATTCATTGGCAGCATCATTCATGAGCCTTCTTCCCAAGGCAAGAGAAGACTAGGTCCATTGTTTTGAACTTTTCCCTAATGGACATATTTCCCATCCCTTTCTTCACTTTTGTTTCTTGTGATGGAATACACTCTGGCTTCACCATACCCTTCTTTAAAATTGAATATGTTTTTTTAATATGTTTTTATAATGAGATCTGACTGGTTCTATCATGTGTCTCAGGTTCTTTGCCATGTCTTAAATCACAGGGCTGTTATTCACCCCAGGGTCATGTTAGCAACACCTGTTTCCCCTTTTTCTACATATACAAAATTCTTTGTTCTTTTTTTTTTTTTTCCTTCTTTAGACATAGCTCCTCACTGCCAACAGTTTCTCTTATCTGTTACGGTTGCTTTAGAATCTTACATCTGCTTTCCAAGTTATTGATCTGTCCACCATATTTACTACCAGTTCTGATTTTCTACAACAGAATGATAGGTTTTAAGTCTCTTTGTTGAGGCTTGTTCTAAGTAAGGCACCATTTGATTCAGCCTTATGGGAAATACACCCTTTGACTATGACTTCTACCTAGAGTAATCATTTCATTCTAAACTGATGAGAATGGAGTTTGTGGCAGACAGTCTTATGTGGGATTATCTCCTTTTTGTTGAATGCAAATCTGTTTGCATTCCCTCCTGCATATTGCCAGACTGCTTATTTTCAATTGTTGAGATTCCCAGATTAAGTATTTTCAGTGGTTGAAATTAATTGATAGCTTTTGAATTTCCAGGATTTTTTCTAATGAAGTTCTGCCAAACATGAGGTCCCCAAAATAACCATTAGTGACTTTACTATATAGCACTTGCTTATTTCTGGCTCAGGTTCAGTTGATTGGAACACATCAAACTTTTAAAGTTCATCTTCCATCAAGCTCTCCCTATCCAGTTTCATCTTTTATCCCTGGACTGTTCTCCATAACTCCCTTAGGACTATCACCCCTTTCCATTGACATGGGCATAACTGATATGAATTTGTTCCAGGTCACAATTTGGATTTGCAGCAAAAATGCTTTCAGAACAGACAGCAGCCCTGGGGACAGGATGGGAGTCAATGAATGTCCAGCTGGATAGAGCACAGCCCCAGGTGGAAAGGGGAAGCCAGGAAGAGGGGCCATGGAGAACAGCTCCAGGGCCATTGGAGCACCTGTGCTGTGACCTTGAAGAGGAGCCACAGTCCCTTCAGGAGAAGGGTGAGAGCCCGTAGGGTGTGTGTGGGAAGCACAGTGCAGAGAATAATCTTCTAATCTCTATTGAAAAAGTAGAATTAAAAACCTCCAAATTGCCATGGACTGACTGAACATCACAGTTAGTACCAGGACCAGGCCACAGAAATAGAAAGAACTTACAGGCCCTAGTCAGAAAAATATAAGGAGCATCTGGGTTCTGCAAACCATGTGACTGGGTTTCTCCCATTTCTTACACAATCACTCCCTCCACCTGTTACATGGTTAGTGGTAACAAATATGGGAGACAAAGGAAGTGACAGAAACACTGACTGCCACTGGAAAACACACCCAGTAAAATGCACTTTACAAGATGAAAATTACATTTGAATAATATAAATTCAAACCACAGCTAGTTTAGTAGAAATGAATGACATAAATGCTCTACTAAAAACCACTCAATACCCTTTCAGAACATTTGAGGGAAGGTCTCTTCTACTACAATACATTTATGCATTTGAGTCTTACCAGTGGACATAGATATAGGGGAAAAAATATGACACTTAAGGCCCACTATAATAGGGCCCAGGCTCTAACTGGAAAAAGATGGATGCTCCATCTCTAATGGTTCCTCTCTCCCCTCACCAGCTCAGTCCACTCCCTGGGTTCCTGCCATTCCCCAGGAAGGGAGCACTGGAGATTGGGAGATGGCAGCTGCACTTCTTGCAGCAGGATCACAGGTGGGCTATGTTCTTCTCTTGGCCTCTCTCAAGGTCTTGTCACTGCTGCCTTTCTGTAGCCTTTGTGTCACTCTATTGGGCTTCCCTGGGGGCTCAGACGGTAAAGAATCTTCCTGCAATGTGGGAGACCTGAATTTGATCCCTGGGTTGGGAAGATCCCTTGGAGAAGGGAACAGCTACCCACTCCAGTATTCTGGCCTGGAAAATTCCATGGACCGAGGAGCCTGGCAGGCTACAGTCCATGGGGTTGTAAAGAGTCAGACACAACTGAGCAACTTTTACTTCACTTCACTTAATTGATTTGTCATTTCACTTGATCACTATTGTTATTTAGTCTGATATCTGCAAGGATTCTATCCCTTTCTAAGGGACTCATACCCTTTTGAAAAATGAATGGAGGCATGATGAGAAGAAGAAAATTGCTACAGATTGAGTTTGTTTTGTTTTTGATAGCTGTGCTAGCCACAGGGAGAATTAAGAAAAATTCATTAATGTTCATTAAGAAATAAATCATAGGCTTTCCTGGTTGTCCAGTGCTTAAGAATCTACCTGCCAATGAAGGGGACACAGGTTCAATCCCTGGTCTGGGAAGATTCCACATGCCATGGGGCAACAAAGCCCAGAAGCTTCACAACTACTGAAGCCCATGCACCCTAGAGCCTGAGCTCAACAACAAGAGAAGCTACTGCAATGAGAAGCCCATTCACCGCAACTGGAGAGTAGCCCCCTGCTCACAACTAGAGAAAGCCCATGCATAGCACCAAAGACGCAGCACAGCCAAAAATAAATTATTTTAAATTAAAAAAAAAAGATATCTGGAAAGATTAGGGAAAGAGGACCTGAAGGAAGCTTGGAAGAACATAAAGTAGACTGAATTAAGTGGATGATGGAGCATTTATGGACATGAATAGAGGACAGAAAGGTATGAAGAGGGGCAGCACCAGAGAAAGAAAACAAGTTTAGATTCAGAAGGCAAGGGGAGCCACGGGAAGTTAGTAATAATAGTAGCTGTAGTATCCGTACTCCAGAGTGCTGACCATGCTTGCTGTTCTCTGAGTGCTTTATGTACATTAACTCGTTTAACCCTGAGAGAAACACAGTTATCCCCAGACAAGAAAATTGGACAGGAAGAGATTAAGGCACTTGTGTAAGATCATACTGCTAATGTTAAGTGACAGAGCTAGGAGTCATCTGGCTCCAGAATCTGGGCTCCTAACTGCCAGACTATGCTGCCTTAAAAGATAAGGATATGGCATAATAGGGGGAGGAGGCCAGAAAGAACAGTTTATCCATATTGTTTCGTGCAGATAGGAAAGGAAAGGTCAAGGAGAGAAAGGAGGAACTTGTACACAATTTCTGCAGTGAAGAGAGGCAGAGGAGAAGAGACTGGGCAGACACGTGTAACTACACAGAGGGACCAGTGAGTGCCTCCAACTTCTCATGGTCCCAACTTGGGAATCTCCTCTACAGACATTATTGCTCACACCCTGACCATTACTTTTACCCCTTTCCTCTTCACCAAAATCATGTTCCCTGCCCAGGAACCTCTGGGCAGTTCTCTTTCTAGACCCTCTCTTGCCACCTCTCCTCTACCACCACCTCAGCCTTTTATACTGAGACCCCGTTTTCCTTAAAGAACAGCTGCTGACTGATGATGCTGCATTTTGTTTCAGGGCCTGGTAACCATCAAGGATGTATCACTGTGCTTCTCTCAGGAGGAGTGGCGGAGCCTGGACCCTTCTCAGACAGACTTCTATGGAGAATATGTCATGCAGGAAAACTGTGGGATAGTGGTGTCTCTGAGTAAGCACGACCTTCCCCAGCCACTCAGTGACTGTACTCTGGGAGAGTGGAGCCACCTGCTCTGGGACTGTTGCATAGTGTCCATTTGGGGTTCTTTTCTTGGCAGGGAATCTGTCTAGGTTTCCACTAGGGAAAGAGCACTAGGGTTAATCCAAAGAGAATAGAAGTGTCACTTTTTAAAAAACAACAAAATGCTGTGAATTATTAGAGAACTGTAGGCAATTCTTTGTTGGGAATTGGGAGGTTCTTTCAGAGAGAAGGACACCTAAGGAGTGGAACTGAGTCCTTGGAAACTCAGAAACCATCTAGGGAAAGATGAGAGTGGGGGTGGGGGTGAGACAGCTGTAGTAGGGCTAATTAAGTGAAGTTATGACCAGAAAGAACAGTTGAGCTGAAAGTATTTGAAATTCACACAAAAGAGAACACTTGTTGGAAAGAGAATATGATTTTCTGAAAGAAAAGGGGACTTCACAGAAATGGGAGTGGGGAGAGGGAAAGGCTTGTTGTATCTGGCCTTCTTTATCTATAGAGTTCCAAGGAATAATTTAGGAAACAGCTTTTTTCAGAAATGAAAATTACAGTTGAACAAACTGACATCCCTGTTTTCTTTTCCCATGGTCAGGATTTCCAATTCCCAAACTGGATATGCTTTCTCAACTAGAAGGAGGGGAAGAACAATGGGTCCCCGAACCCCCAGACTTAGAAGAGAGGGACATTCTGAAGGTCACATACACAGGTAATGATGTATGATAGACTCAGCCACGACCTTCGCCCCTTTTGGAGGTCATCATTACATGTCCCTCCAAGCCCTCCTCTGCCTCAGACAGTTATAGCATTGAATGGTTCAGAGATCTTTTTCTTCAAAGGCAAGACAGTGTAACATAATAATTTAGAGGGCAGGCTCTAGAGCCAAATTTTGTGGATCTGAATCTAGGACCATACCTGTGGAACCTTGGAAAAGTAATTAACTTCTCTTTGGGTTCCTCATCTATAAATTATTATGAGATTTAAATATGTTACCATAGTCGAACAGTACCAGGCACATAGTAAGCACTCAATAAATGTTAGTCGTTGTTGTTCAACCTGCCACCCATTGTGGAAATGCCTTCCACAAGGTCTCCAGTGTTGCTGACAAGGTGTCCCCTGGCCAGTGATTTCAGACCATTCCTCACCTCTCTTCATGGTGATGGTGATTAATAGTTTTCTTTGAGTGCTAAATAAATAATAGTAATAAATAGACAACAACAATAGCATAGACTGTTTAATAGAAGGTACTATCCTATCTGTCTTATAACATCTACCTTATAATTATTCCCATTTTACAGAAGAAGAAATGAAGGCTTACAGAAGTGTAGTGGGAAAACAGATTTTGTGGGTATCTGTCTCCAAAGTCTAAGCTTTAACCGCTGTACCAATTATACTGTCTTGTACAACATTAAAATCTGTCTCTCAGCCCTTATGGGGTGAGGTTTAGACCCTAATAGGCATCATACAGCCTCATCTGTGACTCAGTCCTGGGCTGCTCCCTTGTGACTCACCTCCTGGGGTCCGTGTTGTCCTTTTTCCACAGGAGATGGAAGTGAGCACGAGGGGGATACCCCTGAACTAGAAGCAGAGCCTCCTAGAATGTTATCTAGTGTGTCTGAAGATACTGTTCTCTGGAACCCAGAACAGGATGTGAACTGGGATTCCATGCCCAGAAGCTCCAGAGGCATGCTCCTGGGCCCACCTTTTCTTCAGGAAGATAGCTTCTCAAACCTTCTGTGTAGCACAGAAATGGATTCCCTGTTAAGACCACACACGTGCCCGCAGTGTGGTAAACAGTTTGTGTGGGGCTCCCACCTGGCCAGGCACCAGCAGACACACACCGGGGAGAGGCCCTACAGCTGCCTCAAGTGTGAGAAGAGCTTTGGGAGAAGACATCACCTGATCCGACACCAGAAAACCCACCTACGTGACAAGCCCAGCAGATGCCCTGAGTGTGGCAAGAATTTCCGATGCAACTCCCATCTAGCCAGCCACCAGAGAGTGCACGCAGATGGCAAATCCTGCAAGGGCCAAGAGGCTGGAGAGAGCCCTGGGGCTAGGAAGCGGCAGCGCGCGCCACCCGTGCCCAAGTGCCACGTGTGCACCGAGTGTGGGAAGAGCTTTGGCCGGCGGCACCACCTGGTGAGACACTGGCTGACACACACCGGGGAGAAGCCCTTCCAGTGCCCGCGCTGTGAGAAGAGCTTCGGCCGTAAACACCACCTGGACAGGCACCTGCTGACCCACCAGGGACAGAGTCCCCGGAGCAGCTGGGACAGAGGGACAGCTGTCTTTTGAAATCTATTTCTGCTGCAGCTGTAGTCACATCTGTCAGCCGGTGCTACCAGGGGTCTCTGCCAGAGCTGCCCCTCTCCTGCACCCCCATGGTCAGAATCACGAGTCCTGGCCCCATCCCTACAGAGATGCCGTTCCAGCATTAGCCAGAGCCTTTCTCCCCAGTTCTGTGAGAGGCCACATAAAGTAGAGTTCTTTGGGCAAAGCTTTTGGGAAACGCTGCTTACTGGGTGGGCTGATATTCAGCCTGATCCCGTTCTCCAGGGTACAGTGGTACCAGCAGTTTGTGGCTAAGGCCCGTTCTGATTGGTTGAAACCTGTGCCATACCAGTTGTTAAATATTTTGAGTATCACCCTTCTATAACATAACTATTCTCTCTATATATATATATAGAGAGAAAACACATACTAGCTTATTAAAGGCTCAAAAATTTATGCATTAGCGCAAATGGTTAAGCCTTTCTTACTGCAGTGTTTCCTAAATTTATTTGACCTCAGTATCCTTTCTGTCTCGCATCTCACAGAACTGGTGACTCCTTGAACCACACTGGTGAACACTGGGTTAGAGAGGAATAAGGAAACAGGAGAGAGTGATCAGGCACCCAGAGCCCCGTTTTTTATCCAAATGAAAGCTGAGGGGCAGACCTCATTCCTGTGTGGGCCCATCACCCCTACTCCAGTCATCTGAATATACATCCACACCTCTCACCCCACCTGCTGAAAAACAAAGAGTAACCTTCTCACCCCCTGTTCCTGCTCCCTTCACCCTGCATATACATATATCTAGCTGAGAGATCGCACTACAGTGTTAAGAGATGGACCTTATACCCCCAGGTAACCCAGGCCCACACAGAAGAAAAATACTTTATTCCCTTGAACAGACCCCTCTCCTCTTGACAGTGTCTGTATGTGTCTGTGTGTCTGTGTGCAGGGTCTTTGAAGAGAGCATGCAAAGTACAAACTGTATAAGCTAGATTTTCTAGGGGCTGTATTCTGGGGATGAGGGTAGTGGGAATTGTATGGGGTTTTTAGTTTGGTTTGTTTCAAGGTAATAAGCAAGCTGAGAGATTCAGGGAGCCCTAGTAGAAAGGCTTAAGTTTTGGGGGTTGAGGTATACAGCCTTCCCCAGTATCACTGAGATCAAGACAACTTGGGTATGTAAGTCTAGGTCTGAATCTCTGGGCCACAGATTGTTTTTGCCTAAGTGGAGAGAGAGACATCCTCTGTGAGGTGAGCTATGTCTTATTAATTTCAAGTCAGGTGCATATAGCAGCTTTGTGCTGAGTGGGTTTTTGGGTCTTGTTTTAAGTAGTAAGAAGTTACGGCAGGAGTCACAGTGCTTGCAGGTTGTTGTCAACACTCTTGTCTGACCTTGATTGCCTCATCAAGGGGCAGAGTCATTCTTTCGGATCTCATTCCCCTAAATAGAACTTTAGGGAAAATGGCTGTGACTTAACTATTTGGCTGATGCAGGGTAATGAGCTTTCTGGTTGGTTCTCCTCCCAGTTCTGGGAAAATGTCTGCACTGACTCTTAACATGCATAAGTATTCTAGCATCGGTTAATGCATTGGTCATTGTTTCTCTTTATCGATGATGTGTTAATACCAGTCTTATAATTTAAAAATTACCTTGTATGTAAGAACAGCTTGTGGGTAGGGAGGGAGAAAAGCAAAGAAGATGGAAGTAGGATATTTTCTCTTTAATGCTTAGATTGTGGTTTTTCCTTAACACACTTGTTTCTCAACCACAGTTGGTGGAATTAACCAGAAAGACAAGAGGAAGTGAGCTGCAACAATCTAGTTTAATGGCTTTTCCACTTGCTTAGGAAAAACTGAGTGAATCATAGCTTCTCAGAGTCCTGGGCCCAAATGGAGTCGATAATAGAGTCATTTTACTGACTGGGCTTCTTACAGTGGATATAAGTTGAGCAATCCAGCCCCTACCTCCCTTCTGCTCAGGGCAGCCTTCCCATTTTGCCTAGAATGCACTTCTCTTGCTTACGTTCCTATGAATAGAGCAAAATGGCCAGCCATTTGTAAGGCATCCTTGTCCCAGGTCCTCTGAGACAGGAGCATTTTAGGATCAGTATTGAGAGACACCCCAGGGCATAGAAAAATACTGGATTCCATTGGCAAAACTGAACGATGCCATTTCTTTTACCTTCTACTATGCCTCATACATTAACACAATCAGCTCTATGTGAGCATCGTCCAGAACCTGTTTTGGATCACAGACCCTTTTGAGAATCTGATAAAAAACAGAAACTCACTTTTGAGAAGAAAAGACATTGGTAGTTCGTTCACATTTAGCAGGGTCAGAGCCCATCCATGGAATCACTAAATGGGGGTCAAAGAGAGGGAGTTACCCTGATCCGATATGGTCATTATATATTTGTGTCAAGAATTACACGGCAAGGATCTCTAAACATTTTAAGGACTAAGATACCAGAGGCAGTAGGATATCAGGAGAGTGTTCAGTCTTTAATGATTTGAAAGGTATTGCTTACTCTGTACTTTCTTAAAATTTATATGACTTGCTGACAAATCCAGTTTCTCACAAACCTTTTTTTTTTAAAGACTTGTATGAGGTGAGCCGCCATACCGTCAGATCACACCTCTTCAAAAACCAGGTGTTAACCTCCAGCCTTTGATCTCTTGTAATTGAGGGAAAATGAAGCCCCCAAAGTGTAGGTGTGCTCAGCACCCAACTGAAAGGCATTGTGGAATCTAAGGGCATTAGGCAGAAGGGGCATCCCTTTAGGTCATTTCTACTGTACCACTGTCTTCTCTACCTCCGTCCAACACCACTTCCCTCGGACAAAAAATAAAGTAAGCGACAGCCATCAGCTGGGTAAAGAGATTTGAGTGATTTTTCCCTCAGGGAAAACTCCCAGTTTCCTCCTAACTCCCTCTGCCACGTGTCTACCCTACCCTACCCCCTTTAAATAAAAAAATGTCTCCGTGTTCTCTGGACAAGATGTAAAATAGGGAAGTCTGTCTTTAGGAACCTGTCCCCTTTTTTCCTCTGTGTGGTGCCTCTACCCTATTCAGAACCCAAGTATCCCTGCCTTTCCACCCCATTAGGGTATCTCTGCAAAGAATCCCTTACAATGGAGACTACAGCCAAAGGGTTGACTTTCCCAGAGCTATCTACATTTTAAGCTGTAGCTCTGATAGTGCAAGAAGGGAAAATTTCCTTGTTAAAATGATGTTATGCATTCAGGGAGCAAAGAGGTGATAATTTGGGATAAAATCCTCCCCTTTCCAGCACTCCTACAATCAAATCACTATTTCTTGTTTCCATCAAGGGCAAAGTGAGCCCTGACTCAGAACCAGAGGTTCCAGAGAACAAGTTCTTTCCAGGTCTGTTCAGTTGAGTGCTCTGGATGGGGGTAAACGGGGCTGGGCAACAACAAAAAGTGAAATCTATTCCCTTGGATCCCTTAGAGATTCTGAGATGGCAAAATTTATGGGTCTCAAATGAATCTCTGGACAAGCAACATCAACATCATCTAGAAGAAGTTATCTTAGAAATGCAAATTTTCACCCTGGACAAACATTCAAAAACTGTGGGAATGGAATCCAGCAATTGGTCTTTAACCTGCCTTCCAGGCTATTTGATGTGGACCCAAGTGTGGGATGGAACAAATGGAACCAATGGCTAGGAGATCCAGATTCCATTTTAACCAGTGGTTCCTCACCCTCTTCAAATAGGGAGAGATGGAATGTTGACACCTGTGTTCTCAGATTTATTTTCTGCAAAATCCTAGGATAGTTGCTCCTCAGTTCAATTCCTCTTGAGTCCCAAGGTATTCCACTATACTTAAGTCGGGAAAAGAACTGGGTTAGTCACCAATTTCAGAAACTGGTGGGGTAACTACTAAGCTTCTGTAATTGGTTGAGGCTGGAGCTTCTAAAACAGAGGTTTCACCAGTCTAGAAATCTAAAAAGACAAAAATGAGCAGACATCTCAAAGAAGGTAAATCCAACATAAAAATGGACATCCAAAGAAATGGTCCTCCTTACCTGGTCCTTTTCAGGCCTAATATCAGTTGCCCTGCAGGCAAAGGCGTGGGCATTTACTCAGCACAGAGGCAGAGTAAGGCCATCTGTCCCAAGCCCTTAAGGACCCAAGTATTCTTACCTCACAATTGCACTGAAGACCAATAAGGTGCCATGCAAAGAATTTCTCACCATGATTTGGCCAACCCTGTGGGCAAGGGCAGCAGGAGGATCAGAGAAACCCCCAGGACATAAGAGGAAACCAGGCTCATTTAGTAAGATATGACATGAAATCTGAACCTAGACTGTTCACTAGGTAGATGTAATTAATTAAGCCACAGTGCCTATATCAAAAATGTATTCTGCTTTGAAGATTCTGTCTTGGCCCTGATACCTCCTTCACCCTGTCCTAGACATACCCATGAGGATCCTTGCAAGCCTGCTACCTCTTTGGGGCTCTGCAAGGTCAAAAGATTAGCATGAACATCGGTCTCTGGAGATCATTGGCTTCTCCTAAGGCAGAGAAACTCTAGGCCTCAGGCTCTATCTCTCTCCTGTCACTGCTTCCATCTGTCCAATAAACAGCTCTTCTTCCACTCTTTACTCCCACTTCTCTTTCATTTGGTTTGGTTCTCTCTTGTTTTTCCTGGGGAATGCCACACCTTCCCAAGGGCATTTGTTTTTCCCAATTCCTTCCCAATTTCCTTCCCTTCTTCCATTATAGTTTCTCTCTTCCAGTTTCTAGCCAGTTCCATTCTGTGAGCCTACTTGCTACTTGTACCTCTGCCTATTGTCCAGTTTCTTTTCTTTCATCTTCAAGCCTACTAAGAAGGGTCCTTTCGTCACACTTCCCACTTTCTTCCCTCAGATTCTTGGCTTCGCTGTAGCAGCTCAGCTACCATCACCCTATTCTACCCCTCTCTCTTGTACATACCTTCCCACATCTGGACTTGGCCAAGGTTGCCTGTACTGCCAAACCCAGGCCCTTTACACCCTCCCTACAGACTGTTCTTCCCTTGATGCAGTTTCCAAAACAGTCCCCTCCTGTCTCTTTTGGCTCCTGAGAATAAGCTTCAATTCTACAAGCCATTTTTTGTGAGCTTACTACGTGCCAGGTGTGGGCTGCTCCAGGCCTGGAGGACTGAGTGCGGCCATGGTGCCTGTGCTCAGCGTCCTCCTCAGCTGACCCCTCCCTTGCTGGCACTTTGCTGCCATACCTCAGAACACCATGCATCAGGCAGCCTCAGGGGTGTGTACCCACTGGCCATCCAGCCCAACTGCCAGACTTCTAGCTGTTGTCTGACTTAGTTCCCTCTGATGGACAGTGAACTTCCTATGGATCATCCAACCAGGGACCTTCATCTCTATCTATAGAGATCTATAATCTACTCTTCATGGTCCCTGTCAGTTGAATAAAGAATACTGGCTGTGTCACTGGCTTCCTCTCTCCATCCTCTCCTCTCCCCTCCATTCTCAGCTCTTCTTTCCTGATACAACAAAGTGGGGAACACCAGACAGCTCTAGGGGGAGTCACACAGCCATGCAGGAGTCCCCTTGCTGCCCTTCCTGAAAGAAACACCTTAAGGTTACCCACGTTAGGTCTTCCCACCTCCCTCCCTAGTGACTTGCCTCCCAGATGTCACTTCCATCATCTGGGGACGCACCCCATTCTGGAGACTGAGGGAGCAGAACGCTGAGGAGGCCAGGCCAAGGGTGAGGGAACAAGGGCCTTCCACACAAATATAAGGAGGCCTTCCATCTCAGGGTCGATTAAGTGCTGACCCACTCTTGGGAGACCCTTAAAGTGCTGAGCCTAAGTCTGGAACCTGAGATGGTGACTAAATTGACCTCCCAGACAAATTCACAATTACTGGAAGTCTGGGGGGACCCAGAAGAAACCTGCACAATTGAGTCCACCAGATACATTCACCGTTTAGGGTGAAGAGGATGGGCACCTGGTAGAGGGTATCAAGAGGCCAGGGTGAGAAACAACATGGGGAAAAATCATGGAAAACTGGCCTAGGGGAAACCAACCAGCCTGTGACCCACTGACATGGCCTCTTACCCATGGAGCTTCACTGGGATGGGGGCAGGAAACCACTCTGCAGGCACTGGGTACACCCCAAAGGCTTTGCTCTTCTCCATGGGAGTTGCCTTCAAGAGCTTCAGTCCTACTGCTTAGGGGTGATGTGTCTCTGCAGCTTTCTTAACACCAGCCAGGCTGTTTGCCACCTGCCTTGTGCTCCATGTGTTTCCTTATTTTCGTGCATTCACTCTTAATTCCCCCCAGTCACTTGGAATAAAGCTTTTGGCATGTCTAGCCTCTCCGCAAACCAACACAGGGAAGAGGCAAGGAACTGACAAGAGGAGGAGGAGAAACACAACTGTGATTGTTCATTGATGGGCCTGTTCTCTCTGCCAACTCCAGTGGACTACTGACATCCTGACTTCGTTCTTCTTACCATATCGACGTCTTTCCTAGCATTGACAGGACTCAGGCTAACACCCCCTCAGCCAGTCTTCAGTTCCTCTCTTCCAAATCCTTTGGCTTTCTTTGAGCCCCTTTCAGCATGGTGTCCCTCTATCAATTCCCCAAATGGCCTATCTTCCTGTCCTTACTAGGCACTTACGTTTTGGCTGAATCTGCAGTCCAACCAGACAGCCTTGCCATGTTAGAGATCCCCAGAGGAGAAGGAAGAACAGGAGAAATCTATTGTTTTGAGACCAGTGCTCTGACCAAAGTTAAATATCCAAATATGCCACCAGAATGTGAGCACTAAAAAGTGGGGATTATATTTTATCCATCTTTATTCTCAGCAAAACATCCAGAATCTTGCAGACACTTAATCACCAATGAACACTAGGGATGAAGTGAGCTATTCTTTGCCGTTTCTCCACAGAAGTATCCAGTTAGAATCATGACCTAAACAATCTGAATGGCCTACCTACGAGTTAAGATCATGCCTTATATTTAATCAGAGTACAGTCACCCTAAAGCTTATCAATGAAAATAATCTGAAATGACCAGTTAGCTATGTAAATTATATAAATAATTTACTTAATTTGGTAAGTTTATAAGATTAATAACATTTGCTTAGATGAAGAAAAACATAATACAAACAGAGGCATGAAGATTCCTAGGAAATATAGAAAACAAGTTGTTGCCAGTGTCCTTCCCATCCTAATTTAGGGGAAAGGGATTTCTAATTTGAGACCATCTTGTTGGTCTCAAAACATCCTGTTGGTCATAAAAACATCCTGGAACTATAAAGGGGCAGTAACATCTGGCGATCATACAGGCATTTGATTAGTTTGTTCTAATCGTGTTCAGTAGACAATGTTTCTCTCTGCCTTTTCTTCAGGTGGCTATTTTCTGATTGTTTGCTTCATTCTGCCTCTTACAGACATTTCAAGTGCGTAGTAAAACTAATTACAGCTGGGGGAGATTTCAAAGTTCAGATCATCTATAGATGAAATACAGGGCATGCGTTTTGCTGTTACATTGTATAGGCTTAAAGGAGTGATCCTCATTTAAAGGTGCAAGTGAATATTAGCATCACTTAAGTTTGTTTTAAATATAAATCCCGTGCCCCCTTATAAAAGATACCAGAATTTTCTGGGGAAAGTCTGGTCAGGTATACTGTAAAAAGCTCTGATATTTACTTCCCAAAGAACCATTTCTGTGTCCTGTCCTGGCCAACGGCATGAGAACTCTTCTCATAGTGGGCTTTATGCCTGCTTTCAGAACCCAAAGAAATCATATATTTGCTCCAATTTGGTATACGTGCTTAGCGCATGTGTTTTAAGAAGAGCAAAGATCTAGCTATTCATTATTTGGCCTTCCCCATCTTCTTTTGTTTCTGATATGCATTCTGTATATCTTAGTAGTTTCCTCCCTATGAGCTAGTGCTTTCCCAGCTGATAATTCCCTTAATGAATTTTGTCAATCAAAGCATACACCATGATATCTAAGTCCCTCTCATCATTTTACGGACACTTAAGATCACCTAAAATAATCCTACTCTAATTCCAGCATTTTTTTAAACAGAGAAGGAAACCAAGACCATGAATGATTAAATAACTTAGTTAAGGTCAGAGTGGCAGCACTTTGACTAGGATCCTGGTCTCTTAAGTACTGATCCAGTATAGTTTTCTGTGGTAGCACATTATCACTCTATCACAAATCATTTATATTCATATATAATTCTAGTGATAAGCACCTACCATAACTCAAGCCTTGTGCTAGATGCTTTCACACACAGTCACTCAATTGAGAATTAACATATAAGACATATTTTTCTAAGTTAAAACAATTATCAAATCAGGGCAAAAATTACAAACGCATTACAATCAAGTGCGGGAGACAGGTCGTCTTCTAAAAGGAATTTCCAGTAAGAACACTTTGGATTAGTGGGACCACTTAACCTAAAGGCTGCCTATTCTCTTGCCCCAGTGAGGCCCCCCACTTCGCTCCTTACTTGCCTTTCTCTCCAAAACTCAATTTAGATTTGCTAGGCTGTCTAACATTAATCCAACACATCCTCTAACCCCGTGAAGTTGCTGGCTCTCTTCTGTTTTTTTTCCCTTTTGAAAGGCATGTTCCTGGCTCCTGCAGCAGAAACAGAATTTCATACTCCTTGTTCTGTCTTCAACCGACAGGCTTCTGCTACAGGTCTCAGCTCAACACCCATCCTTTCCCCTTCAGGTGCGGCAAAGAGGAAACAGACACAATGTGGTGGAAAGGTCTTGTATATAGTTTTGTTCATTTCAACGAAGGTGGGGAGCTGCGCTCACTGAAGCCTATGGGGAAAGGCATCTGTGCCTGGAGGAAGGGGCGTGGCTCCCACACTATGGACTCCCGGTGGCTCTCCGAGCACCTTGAGCTTTAGCGGAAGTCTTGGTGCGAGTAGCCCTCGAGTGGTAAGTCTTCGCCTGCCCAAGCGAAGTCCGGTTGGTTTTAGCGGAAGTTGGCCTCTGGACGGTCCGTTTCACCGGCTTCTTCGGGTCCTGCTTCTTTTCTTCCCTAGCCTTGGAGCTTGGCCTTTTCTCATTTCGGGATCTGGGCCTGATGTTTTCCTTCTTGGCCCTCCCTTTCTCCTTGGTTCTGGAACTCACCAGGTGCTTGGCCCTTGACCTCACCTTCCTCGAGTCTGCCCTCAAGCGCCCCCTCCATGCCTTCCTGGCCACCGTGCAGCGCGCAGAGCGCCAGCACCTGCGCCTGCGCCTGCGCCTGCGTAAGTTCCACACCCGGAGAGGGGTCTTCGGCGAGCGCACGCCCTCCTCCAGCCTTGGGCGTCCGGGCTTTCTCTTCGGCTTAGGAACCTTCCAGATCCTGAAGCAGCCGGGGGCTTCGCTACCGCTCACCCGGAGGAGAAGGCCCTTCCCTTCAGACCTGGACCCTTCGCCCAAGAGGCGGCCACACTTCTTGCGCACCTCGTAGCCCGCATTTCCGAACTCTTTCTTGAGAGCCGCCAGGGTCAGCCTTTTGTGCCCGGCGATGGCGTGGAGCAATAGCTGGGACACCTCGAGCACGGAGCGCGAGCCCCGCCTCAGCGGTCCCGCGAGGACTCTTTCCGTGGGCTGCTGGGTTTTAACTTCAGGACCTTGGGATTCGTCCATGGGCTCAGCCCCTTCAGCCATGGCCCCGCTCCCCCTTCTGCGGGGCCACTGGCTCTGAACCTCACTCACCCAGGTATTAGCTAATAAGACTGCGGCTGCCGGCCACGTCACAAAGGCAGGTCCTGTTACGAGGGCGGCCGACCCCAAGGGTAGAGGGTCCTTCTCACTTTTAAAACCAAATCAGATGCCGTGTCCTTCTAGGTCTAAACCAATTCGGATTTTCAGAGCCTCTGCGCACCTGAAAAATCCCCTTTATAATATCCAGGGTTCTGTTTCCTGGTCTTAAGTTTACACTTCGCATTGATCTTGATCTCAGCCGCTTTCTGAAGGTCACTATTTTTTCTGTGGTCCTGCACACCATCTACCCACATTCTCCTAAAAAGGAAGAGAACTTATTCCCAACCATCCACAAGTAATACAGTGCCCTTAAAAAGCAGCTGTGGTAGTCTATAAAACACAACCCGGCCGAGAAACTCCCATTTTTAGGTCCCACCAGGAAAATGTATGCAGTTGTATCTCCCTGGCTCTCAGCACAGTGGATTTTGTGCAAGAATATGAAACAAAGTAAGAAATCACTGTGGTCCCTCTACCCTAAACACAGTTCCCACACCTGCAAAGTTCAGATGCCTCGTTCAATTGGATTGAAACAATCCAGATTCCAAATAAGAACAGCCTAACAACACTGTCTCATCATTATTCTTTAAACAGACTCCGTGCTTTTCTGCTTCTTGTCCTCTTTTTAGATTGCTTATCCCATCTCTGTCCAGATAAATCCTGCTTGTCTTTCAAAATCCTGCTAACTGCTCCTTCACTGAAGCCTCCTCAGACTCCTTCAGTAAAAGAATTTCTTTCCTCTTAATTACCACAATTACTTCTGTAACCCTGTATGGTTTTTTCTTTAAATTAATTTGATATTAGAAGGTACAGTGTGGCACAATATTTTAAAAAAGAAAAAAGCTGGAGCTGAAAGACATGAATATATATCCTAGCTCTTTAATAGCCATGACATTAATAATCCTTAATATTTTTAAACCTGACTTCCTTATCTAAAAAAGGTTTAATAATCCCTTCCTACCAACATCACAGAAACATACCATATGCAAAAATTCAGAAGATGTGATAATAGACAAAGGAGCATAAAAGTTATTTCACTCTGTATCTTTCTATCTTTCCAACTAAATAAAAAGGTCTCTCAGAGTCAGACAGTCTTTGAATTTCTATACCCCATGCTGTACCTAATATAGCATTATTATATATAGCAAGCATTTGAGTCTGCTTAAGCTCCTTGCTGGTGAGGAGGCTTTCTCTGGATTCAGAAGGAAAGTCCCAGAAAAACATGAGAAAAGAGCAGGATGAATTTCAAAGGGCTGGAAATGAAGGCAACCAAGGAAGCTAGTTGTTCAAGGACCTCTAATTTAAGACATGGTTTGGCTGGGAATAATTCAAAGAATACCTCAAGTTGCAAAGCATATCATACTTTTCCAGAGGACATTCATATATCATCAGCAGTCATAGGCTGGAGTGTGGCATTGTTTCTTCCAGGAATCAAAGTTCCAGGAAGTTGCTTAGACCAGAGCTTGTTAAGTTTTAACGTGCACTTACTTCATAAAGTACAGCTTCCAATACATTATATCTGAGATGGATCCAGAGATTTTATCAACAAGCTCCCACGTAGTTCCTGGATAAAACACAAGTGTTAGGGGTAGAGGAGAGTCGACAATGAGAAGGAAAGTGGCACGAGATAAGACTGGAAACATAGATGAGGGTCAAGTTGTGAAGGACAGATACCATCATAATGACACAGATGTTATAGGTCTCACAGCAGTTAAGTCGTAGAGTTTGGATTTAAACCTGAGTCTACTTGGTTCTGGACTTCCCTGGTGGCTCAGAGGGTAAAACATCTGCCTGTAATGCGGGAGACCCGGGTCTGATCCCTGGGTCGGGAAGATCCCATGGAGAAGGAAATGGCAATCCACTCCAGTATTCTTGCCTGGAGAATCCCATGGATGGAGGAGCCTGGTAGGCTGCAGTCCACGGGATTGCAAAGAACTGGACAGGACTGAGACTTCACTTTCTACTTAATTGTAAGGCCTGAGTTCTTAAAATTACTATGTTAGGTTTCCTTTTCTCCCCACTGCCTTATATATCTCCATTATAGAGTAGAGGGGCTTCCCAGGTAGCCCTGGTGGTAAAGAATCTGCCTGCTAATGCAGAAGATGCAAGAGATGCAGGTTTGATCCCTGGACTGGGAAGATCCCCTGGAGCAGGAAATGGCAGTCCGCTCCAATATTCCTGCCTGGAAAACTCCATGGGCAGAGGAGCCTGGTGGGCTATAGTCCATGGGGCTGCAAAGAGTTGGACATGTCTGAGCAGCTGAACACATATAGAGTAGAGGGAAGTTTATAATCACAGCTCAGAGTCAAGAGTATTTATAAGCGATCACTGTACTTTCTCCCAGGCTTTTGATCAGGGCAGAGTTCTGTGACCCTGAGGATCTCCAGGGGCAAGGGCTAACACAGCAGCACAGGCACAATGCACCAAGGAAGAGCTGCCAGATGCAGAGGCAGAACTACATTGTGCTAGATTTCTCCCAGTTGTAGAGTCTCTTGGCCTGTCTATCCTTCCTAGTTGCATAGGCAAGTGGTCACAGGATGGGGCAACCACCAGAGAAAAAGAAAAACAGACAAAAGTGTTTGCTTTGTGAATATGAGGAAAGTAAATGAAGTATCACCTTCATATCAGCTGATTCCAGGTAAAAACAGGTTGTTTTTTTATGTATGATAGGTATCATCGTGAAGGAAAGAACCAAATAAAAAACCATGTTTACTGATACCCTTGTGATCACAAAGGAGGCAAACTGGAAACCTTTGAGGCTGAAATCAAAGGAAAAGAAAATAATGAAAAACTATCCAAAATACCAACACCTATGACAAAAAAGAGAAAACATTTTTATTTATATATAACCATTCATTTCACATAGATTTCTGTATAAGTATGCTGTAAATAACAGAGGAATAACTAAAAATGAGAAGTAGAAAACAAATGCCCCCACCACCACTCAGGTGACTCAGAAGATAAGAAAGCCACTTGACATCTTTCATAGTGTTAGGTAGTTAGACTAGGAAAAAGGAGTCCAAAATGGCGATGGCTAAAAGACAAAGAAGGGAAAGACCTGCAAAAATAGAACAAAGGAAGGTCCGAGGACCAGAGTGAGGACCTCAGGTAAAACAAACAGCCCTCCTGGCTAGCCCAATTTACATAGAGCAGGCTCAGGGGGAGGAGAAAAAAAAACATAATAAAAAAGGAGCCAAAATTGAACCAGGGCCTTCTCTTCATGTCTTTTAGATTGGCCCACCCTCATGCCTCGAGGGTGTGTTTTCCTTTGCTTGCCAATAAAACTGAGCTATAACACTGGTCCATCCCCTACTTCAAATTTTTGCTGCGGTAAGACAGAACCGAGGAAATTACACATTCCTCCGACATATATGGTGCCATGACTCGGGTTTAACCTGGCTGAAACAATCTCGGCTTGGCCCCCACGAGTCAGAGGCCAAGCACAGCAGAAGCCCAACTCAGTGAAAACTTCCACAGTGAAAGCTGAACACAAAGAAAACCCAGTGCAGGGGAAGTGACAAGAAGCCCACTGTGCTGGAAACTGGGACAGCAAAAACAAACTCAGCAGAAAGCTCACACGGCTCAATCTCAGATTCCAGGAGACCACCGATTCAGGTAGGAAGTCCTCCCTCCTGTGGCTGGAAGGACATATGGCTAACAAAATCTTAATTCCTTTACAATCTCTCGTTTCTTGTTTGCTTGAACCCCCTGCAAACAGGCGAGCAGCAGTGGGTGCCCCAGGATGTCCTGAAGGCTCCACTATGTGTGGTGCCCTAGTAGCTATTGCCAAAGTGGGTGGGAGTTCTTCGGTTCTTAATCTTCTTTGTGCCAAGGATCAGGCCAATGAAAACTGTGAGCACAGGTTAGGTATTTAGCAGATTTTCTGGCAGGTTATGAAGGGGACTCCTTGGCACATTTTTCCCACTGCTTTTTCCTCCCATCCTTCAGCTCCTCTCTCCTTCTATGCCACGGCTTACAAAGTATTGGGCAGGTCATCATCTTGCCATTTCTGAAAGTTGTGCTTAAAACCATTTACCTAAGATTGGGAGTCAAACCCACATGGCAGGGACTCTGCACTATGCTTAGTCACTCAGTCATATCTGACTGGGACTTGAAACCGGCCAAAACCCATGGTGCCTGGTTTTAGGACCTAATGAAGCTCAGGCTCTTGATGCCTCATTGCAAAAAATTCAGTGAGACACACAGTGATAAGTAAGAGGTGGATTTGTTCGGATTTAGAGAGATGCACACTCCACAGGGTGTGGCCATTGCAGAGGGTGAGAGTGGTGTGGTTAGTTTTCCCTGAGCTGGGTGATTTCATATGCTAATGAGTAGGAGGATCATTCTGACAATTGGGGAACCACCCACTCCTCAGTCTTTTGACAGTGCCTTGGAACTGTCCTGGCACCTCTGGCTGTGTCATTTAGCTTGCATATTGAGGATCAAGGTTTAGTTGAATTTAACTTGTCATCTTGGACCCATTTGATTTTAATCAGTTTTTGTTATGCCTTTTGGCTAACATAAAGTTTTTTTTGTTATTGTGCCCTGCCCCCCTCCCTCCTGTTTCATGCTCTTTTCCTGAGCCCCATCCAGGCCCAAAATGTTGCCTCTACAATCTTCTGGAGAGACAACTAGAAAATAGTTGGCCCTTGGGAGAGACATACTGTATAATATCCAATCTCTCTAGATATCCAGGTCCTTATGTTTCCTACAACATGTGCAACAACAGCATCTCTCAATGAACCCTTTGGGGCAGGTGACAGGCCCACAATGCCTGCTAGAAGTCCATCTGTTGGTGGCATCCCTTCAAGGGCAATTGGGCTTCCAGGGATAATATTTGCAACTCTGGGAGTTAACCCTACAGGCCATTTGGGCCCAAAACCTTACCACCCTTCTCCTAAAGTTAC